CGCTAGAGCCCCGTCAAAGATGTTTGCAATTTGTTGGCAGTATCGTTTCATGCATGGTTAGTACAATTTTACGATTCATCAAAGCAGAACGAACATACAAATTGGCACTTGCTTCTAATATATCTGCCCTTGCAACTATGACGCCGCATTTTTTCTCATTGGACAGACCTGTAACTATGCAAGATGGTTACCAGTTTACCTTGCTGGTATATGAAGCAACTGGAGTCACAACACTCAAAAGTGTATCACGAATTTGTTGCCGAAAATCACTCCATTAGCCGCAACGATCAGGCATTTTCTCGTGTCTCAGCTGACACAACCCTAGAGCAATCTACGTTTTTAACAACAACAACACCAAAAGCTTTATTTGCATGACCATAAAGGAATTACAGTATTGCAAAAGCTATTAGTCTAAATTTAAGTACTAATTCAACTAATTAGTGCGTGCAAAACATTACAAAACGTTACAGTTCTCATTCATTCATTCATTGATATTAATTTGGTTCTTAATTCAAAGCATTGCGAGATAAATGAAACTAATTGACAGTTAATTAAATAATCAGAAGAATTCATAAGAAGAGATATTAAAGTATCGTGTGAAAGCGATTTGAAGTCAGGTATTTTAGTTTCTAGTTTGGAGAAAAATATGTCTCTGATCTGAGAATAAGCCTTACAATCTAGTAAGAAATGATTTTCATCTTCGATTTTGTTACTTGTACAAAAGTGACATATCCTTTCATGGCGAGGAATGTTTTCGTATCTACCTGTTTCAGTTCTAAGTTGATGACTACTTATTCTAAATCTAACTAATGCTTTTCTCGAAGGGTTTTTTCTTGTTAAAACTAGGTACGGCGAGGGGCTATAGTCGTCTTTGATTGTACAATAAAAACTGAGTTTTTGTGATTGTTGAAGGGTCTGATTCCAGTAAGAGACGTATTTATTTTTCATTATGCCGATATACCTATTAACTATTGAGTCACTCAATAAATTACAGGAAAAGTCATAGTTTAGATCATAGTAGTCAACCATTTTCATGAGATTAGAGTAAAAGCTAGTTTTTCCGTTATGATGAAGGTCAACTGAAATTTGTAAGGCCTGTTTAACTATAGAATCTTCATCTTTACCTCTCAGATAGTCTAAGTAATTTAGAATCTTTTTATTTATATCAATGATCATGGGAAATTTACCGAGTTCAGCTCTACAAGCAATGTTGGATGCCTTGTTATGTACTTGTAAATAACGTTTACAGAATTGCAAATGGGTTTTTTCAATTGCAGAGCTGTCCCAGGACTTAAACTCTGATTTAACAAAAGCACCCCAAACTTCACTGTTGTAGGTTAGAATTGGTGAAATCATAGAGTCAAAAATTTTACACGCAAGTGAGGGCTTAAGACTATTCAAATCCGTATGCCGCCTGAGGCTGAAGAGCGCGTGAAGAGCTTTTTGTCGGAGATGTTCAAGCGAAAGTGTAAAATTTCCGGAAGATGTAATGCGAGTTCCTAAGTAAGTATAGTTTTGGACAACGTCGATTACTTCATTGCCTATGCGGAAGTTATGTTCACATTTTCGAGTGCATCGTTGAAATATCATTATTTTGGTTTTCTTAGGATTTATTCTAAGCATCCATGAGTTGCAATATGAAGATAGTACGTTAAGGCAGTTTTGTAGACCAAGTTTGGATCGCGATAATATTATCAAGTCATCTGCGTAAAGGAGAGAGTTGAGTCTGGTGCCATTTGGTAACACGAAGGGGTCTGATAAAACATTGTCAAATGAGAACGCCAGATCGTTAAGGTACAAGTTAAAGAGCAGAGGGCTTAAAATGCAGCCTTGCCGCACTCCTCTTGCGTATTGAAAAGATCGCGTTTTGTTATTTCCAATCCTGACAGAGCAGGTAGACTTCGAGTATAGACTCTTAATTAGACTATAAAACTTTCCTTGGACATTGACCTTAGATAACTTATAGAGAAGCCCATCATGCCAAACCGAATCAAAGGCTTTCCTAAAGTCAACAAAACACGCATATATTTTCTCCTTGTGACAATGGACATATTTGTCTATTAATGTTCGAAGTGTGAGGACATGATCTGCTGTTCTATTATTTGCTAGAAAACCAATTTGAGACTTGTGAAGTATATTATTTAAGTCAACGTAACTTAGAAGTCTCTGATTGAGAATTGAACAAAATAGTTTTCCAATACAACTGGAAATACAAATTCCACGGTAGTTTGATGGATCGCTTTTAGTACCACATTTAAAAATTGGTGTAATGAGGCCATCACACCACATTTGGGGCATAGTTCCTAAGTCGAGGACCGTGTTAAATAGTTTTAGATAAACAGGCATTAATTCGTTTAGGCTAGATTTGATCATTTCGTTTTTGATTTTGTCTGAAAAAGAAGATTTGTTGTTTTTGAGTTTTCCAGCTGCAGTGCGAATTTCACTTTCAGTGATGAGGTAATCCAAGGAGTGAGATCGTGTCGTAATATCCTTTGATTTCTGCAACTGATCTATAATTGCCTCCTGCTGTTCATTAAGGGGTTCTTTCGAGTGCAAAGATTGAAAGTGGGACATCCATTTTTCTTCAGAAATTGGAGGGGTGTAGGTTTCCTTCATAGTGTCGTCCATTGACGTCAAACAGTTCCAAAAGCTCTTATTGTTCGAATTTTCGACCGTATTTTCAAGTTCACAGATCTTATTGCTATAGTATTCGTTTCTCTTATGTTTCAAAAGGTTTTTATATTGTTTTAAGACGCTGTGATACTCTTCTCTGAGAGTATTGTTTAGAGGATCTCTATGTTTTTGATTAGAAAGTTTCCGCAGTTCATGTCTTTTATAGCGGCATTCTTTGTCGAACCATTTTTTGTTCGAAGATATTTTGCAACGTCGCTTTTTTGCTGTTTTGATCTTCAAACAGCGTTTGGCGGTTGAAATAAGAATATTTTCTACAGCATGAAGGTTCATGTCAACATTTCTCGTGATTGTTGTAGTATTCATAAAATCGTGGATCATTCTTTGAATGTCTTCAGACTGTAATGTAGCTCTAAATTTTTGTGACGAATCGTTTTCCCAAAAAAACTGTTTTGGTAGAGGAGTCAAAGAATCATTTTTAATTGCCTCGTTTGATGAATTATCTAAATGACGGTTAACCTTAAGCCATGTTATTATTGGACTATGATCTGATAAACTGCTCGGCTCTTTCACTACCAAAGATGTTATATTTCGTAGCAAATCTTGGTCACATATGGAGTAATCAATGACACTGATTCCCGATTTACCATGAAATGTAGGTCTGCCTAACGAGTCGCCATTAATTCTACCATTTAAAATTCTTAAATCCGCGCTTCTACATAGCTGACTCGAAGTCAAAGGGTGGGAGTGTTGGCATATCTCAAAGTCCACGATCGCTAGAAAGATTGTTTCTAACTATTCACCAAAGAGCCTCATAGCTGTGAAAAAGATGTGTGGTTCTGACAGAAAGTGACCACGTAACAACACAAGAAGGCCACATCGAAGAGACTGAAGCGTGATTAAGAAGACGTCAGGAAGCTTGTTGACTATTTTTCCCTTGTCTGGTTTATTGAATAACCCTTTCGTCCAAGAAATGGAGTCTCTAGTTAACTTTGCTACCGGCGTAGAACTGACTTCAAATGTTACAGAGGGCCTTGTTAGCAGTAATGAAAAAGGTCGAGAACAGACGAAAATCTTTGAACACTAATACTGTAAATCTTTGGGATCCTGTTCCAAGCTTGAAGGTAAATACATTTAGTACCATGCTGACAAAGATCTCTTTGAGCAGCTACATATGAACACCCAACAAATCAATTTGAAGGAAGGTTTCTGCTATGAGTTGTCCCTAATTCCATGCGCACTCGCACACCAAGATGGCAGCTTGTGAAAAACCTTAATATAAGAGTATTCTATATTAACCACAACTGAGAAAGAGGTCAACGTCGTTGAACATTAAGTTAGTTACCATTTTTAGCGATTTTTTAAGAAAGAATTGGGAGGTAAATGACGATTCAGGTTCCAGCCTCGTTTTCATGCTGGACCGTAAGGTGCGTGAAATAAAATCGCCATTTACTCGAAATCTATACCACAAATTGACCTTACAAATTATTAGGCAATAATCAGGAGGACTTGACCTACCAAAATCCGGTATCAGACCTTCTCTGACCCGTGGGTTGAACGAAACGACAATTTTCCGACCTCGGCTACTGGACTAAACTGCTTCTGCGTTCGATTTTGTGGTTAGACCAATGCATTTTTCTATCAGACAGAGGAAGAAGAAGGAGAAGAAGAAGAAGAAGATGCTTTTATTTAGCTAGGGTAACTCCTACAGTTACAAAAAACTGATATCCTTAGAGGCCCTAGATAAAAAAGAAATATAAAAGTATGTTAAAAATACTTAAAACTAGTCCTAACTAAGATAATACAAAAATATCCTAAAAAAGGATAAACATTATTACAAACTATTAATAAAAACTACAAATTACGATTAAAAACTTCAATTTCATCGATGATGATAAAAACCTTTTTTCGTACATTCTCTAGTGGATGTCGCATGCTGATGTGTTACTAAGACGCCTTAGAATGCGATGGCAATGAAAACGGGTCAAAGTTGTTTTATAATCACCGATTCCTTTGACATAACCGTATTTACTCGAATAAGCGCCGCGATGCTTATTAAAATTTTCACTTCTCAAATGTGGTGCTTATTCGAAGCGGCTCTTATTTGAGAGTTGGACGCTACTTCTTTGCTTCTTTTCAGTAACCGATATTATTTCATTTTATGACAGAAACGTCTTTTGATTTTGATTGCATCGGGGCCGCGCAGCTTATTTGGGGGAGGCGCCTATTAACTCAGTATTTTTGTCCCAAATGCGGCACTTATTTGAGGGCGGTGCTTATTCGAGTAAATACGGCATTTTACCATGAAATTTTGTTTGTTACTTGGAAACTATAACGGAAACAAGACGTCCTAGGGTTCCGTAAAAGTTCTAAAAGTTGACCGGTCTGATTTTCATCTCAGCTCTCTTGGCAGAGTAGTGATATCCTTTCCATGCATTCCAGTTGACACCATCACCATATGATGAATGTGAACCGTTGTAATAAAAACCATTCAAGTTTGAATGATGGCAACGATAGTACCACCAGGCTCCTCTGTAGACCACGGCGCAGTTACGTGGGCCGGCATCATGATCTTGGTCTCTAGTGCTAAACGGCTGGTTTCGATGCCACCTCGTTAATGAGTCACCAGCAGTTCCTAGGGGTCATACAAGGTCATTTTACCAGGAATGTTTGGAGTAGAATACCTGAATATAATCTAGCATTGAAGTACAAGAGGGGGGCTACGTTTGGAAAAGTAACTGAGCTCCTTTTGAAACTTCCTAGAGTTTTCAAGTTTGCAAGAAGTCAAGAAACCGCTAACAACCAAGCTTTGAACGAATAATTAAGACACGAAGACAAAATACTTTACATCAAAATTAAATACATTCCAAGCACGATACCTGAGTAATTTCCTAGAATGAGCTTGTATTTAGTCGCTTCGTTTGTAACTGCAAACATGTCATATTCAGCGTAAGCAGTGTAGCCTGTAGTTTCCTCCAGATCAACTCGAAGCCGGTTGCGTTTCTTTTCCGTCAGGCGGTAAATCTTGTCCAATCCAAGCCAGAACTCACCATTCAGGTTACCAAACCCATTTTTGTAGTCATCCCAGTGATTGTAGAAAGAAACCGAGCCGTCCAGTCTCTTTTGGAACACTGTCCACCCCCCTCCGCTTGTTTTTTGATCACAGAACACTTCAAAGGCACCTTCACCATCAGGGTCGATTGTGTACACGCCGCTGATTCTTTTGCCAGCTTTGTATAGCTCAGCACAGTTCTTAGCTGTTCAGGAAAGATGACCTTAAAATTATTTAAAATAGAGACGAGACGTGTGACGTCACGCTACCATGGTAGCAAAATTACCAGATCACAACAATAGGGAGCTTGAGCAACGACGACGGTGACGGCGACGGCAACGAGAAGAGCAAAAAAAGCAATAGGTTTATACTAGTAATAATTGCTAATTTGGGGAGTGCGTTCGATGGGGAGGGGTGGGGTGAGTAGTGAGTGGTAGTCATAAGGGGATGTAAAACTTAAATGAGCTTGTGAGATTGAGAAATCAAAATAACATGTGTATTTCGGATCTCCTCAGAATATTAGTGTGCGACATGTATGACAATATGAATCAGGGAAAATTTAACTCTTTCAAAGAAGTCAGAGGGAGGAGACATACTCACAGAAGTTAAACATGTTCCATTGGCAGAATATTGTTTCATGAAATTAAACGACAAGCAGATATAGGGTTTCCTATAAGATCTATCCATTCTGCACTTTACATTCACGATAAATTCATGTAATAAATGGGTGGAGAGGATAGCCGGCTGTGATGGGAGTTTGGTCATTTACTTCGTGTACCCGACACAGATGACGTAAAACAAAAGAACAAAAACCATGAAACAATACCAAGCAGATTTTTCCCTGAACAGAAAACAAAGCAGCGTTTTGTTTTACGTCATTTGTGTCCAGTACACGAGGTTTCTACCGGAGTTTAGAAGCCATTGTCTGCACAAATTGTCAATTCATTTGGTCAGGAAAGTGTACATTTGGCTGTCATGATCAGTTTAGGAATTTCAAAACCTATGCCTCTGGCAACCATTTCTCAACAAGCTCATGCGTGTTGAGAATTGAGAAACTGACCACCTTCAACATGACTTGTACGTGGACATTTCATAATTCACTCTTGCGTTTAATAGTCGTGATCACTTTCATAATTCTCATGAACTGCACCCCTAAGACATTGCTGCATGTAATTTCTATTTCAGTGATTATGTTTGCACCTTACTGTTACTTACAAACAATTAGTTGTCAGTGTGATTATGAACTAAAACAAGTGCAAACAGTCTCATTGCTGTAGCGCACTTAACAATATAATATATTTTTCCTTCAATTACCAGCATTTACTTGTTGTTTTCACCGCAGCATAATCTCCTACAATTTCATCCACTCACTACTACTGACACACTTCACAAATGGTGAATTATAATTACACTTATTATTAGAGATGCCATCTAACCCAAATATTAAGCAAATGCAACTGCATATTAGCTTGCAGTTATTCACTATCACACCCATTTCCTTTTACTATAATTACACATGTAGAAGGGTCAAATGAGGTGAACACGGGACTAATGCAACATTGGCTACCTTTCACGACAACAGCAATCCCATTTAAATCAAAGAAGATCCTTTTAGCCAAAGAACTGGGTCCAAATTTACTCCAACCAAAAGGAGATTAAGTACATCTCACCTTCCAATATTAGTCATATTAGAGCCAGTGTTGAATCCCGCCCTCCCATCCCTGTCATTTTATGGGCCTGAGCCTCTCGAAGTTCTGCGATACACGTATTTCTAGTTATAGACGTAGTTTATAGATCTGGCTGGTAAATTAAGTCGTGATGTTGTTGTTCATCTGTCAGTTAAGCCGTGATGTTTATGGCTATGATGTCATTGTTGAACACCAGTTACAGACGAACCACCAAATCGACACTGGCTCTACGACCTGCCTTACGTATTTCTCAGACTGCTATCAACGATTCACTTTAGAAAGCTGATTTACCAACTGGGAACAAACGCAGCTGAATAGTAGTCAGAAGTTACCGGCACCTTCAAAACGACTCATCAACGGCCTCAAGCAAGACTGGCTTCAGTAGAGTGAATGGACAACTGACAATTTGACTAACAATAAAATTCAAACGACCGTTGTAACTGTGACAAAAGATGAATAGAAATTAGAGTCCTCACAGCTAATAACCGACAGACGACAAATAACACTGCAACTTATCCATCATTCAGGTCAATCAGAATTAAGTCAAATTCAATTTCTTGCGCTTCCCGTACGCTTATGCTTAGAGGCAGGAGCGGCCATTTTTGCATCAACGAGTGTAAGTAGTTTAATTCTACAATTGTATCCAAAACTCCTTAGGACGATAAGGTTAGGCCATGAATTACTCCTCGCGGAGAGAGAATGGAAGGCCCTCGCGTAGCCGAGGTTCCTAACTCGCGCGTGGAACGTGCGAGCTTCGCACCGCGATGCAGAAACACAAGTAGGCTCTATAGATATCTCCAACCCCGTCAAGCAAGTTTAACTTGAGTGGCACACTGAGTTTCCTCGAGGCTTTGCGAGACACGTATTTCTAGTGTAAATATTTTACAACTGAAGTTTGAACAAGCAATGCCTACCCTTTCTAACATGCGTTGGTGTAGAATGGCCCACATTGTAGGTAGAGGGGGAGGTGCTGAGCAAGTCTAGGTGCATTCGCAAGCGACTGTTTGTTTGGTGTGCGTGTGTGTGTGTAAAAAAGTGTTAAAAGAACAAACTTGTCCCAAGACTTTTTTCCATGATTGTAGGGTAGTCTTACTCTAGAATTGGTAGAAATCTCATACAACCCCTTTCTAATGAAACGTAACGGGACCACCTCGGGTTCTCCTATCAAGTAATTAAGACACTCATTCCTTCACAGAACTTCATAGAACTTGCAATCTATATCAATGACTATTACTACATAAAATTAATTTTCTCTTCAAGATAAATATGGTTTCGGAAAAGGAGTGATCAGTTTGGTTACAACTTCTACTCTTTACTTTCTGCAAGCTGGCTTCACCCTACCTTTATCACACAGTCTAGGTTCTCTTCCAGTTTCATTTGCCTTCGAAGCTATTATTTTATGACTTAACTCGATCAGCTGTTGTATCTCCTCAGCCATGCCTGTGTAACAGATAAATAATCAGTTTACATTGAAGCTTCTAATACCAATTTGACCAGAGACATATATGGTAGAAGAAGAAGCACTTTTTGGATTTGCTACTGGGGAAACACCCCGGTATAATTAAGGAAGAACTGGTTCATGTTTATCCTGAGGGTAAAACGAATTATAGAGCCACGCGGGAAGTTTAAACCGGCAAGAGAAAAGGGCGTAAAAAAGGGGCTGTGTCATTGATGGCTGTCCATATCATTTTGTTAATTATATTGCCAAATACGTACATAGCCTGCGAGCAAGCTCTCAATAATTTCGCTTCCTTATCCGCTATGAATTCCTATTTCGGATTCCAAACGCAAAAATTTCCCGGATTCCAGAATCCGGATTACCTTACATTGGGCGATACATTCTAAGTACCTAAAATATGCTGTTTGGCGTTTAAGTCGTTCGTATCATAGACTTAACTGTTTTCATGCTAATGTTAGTAGATCAGTAGTACAGGATAGTCTTTTACAGCTGTATCAGTAATGATTAGATTATGTTCAGCGAAAAAGCCTCAATTAACAGGGGCATCCAACAGCAATTTTCGGAAAATATCTGTTCGGAAGAAGATTTGAAATCTAGAATTTTCGGAACATTTGTTGTAAAATTTCTTGCTTACCTGCCTCTCCTAGGATTTTCGAACATCTACAAAATGGTATAATTACTCATTTTTAACGGATTTTTGCCCTAAAAAAAGGCCACCTAGAATTTTCGGAAGCCTAAGTTTTGATACCTATCATTTTAGGATCACTAGACTTTCAGCTAGGAAATCCGAACAGATGAAAATTTTTTAGGGGATAAAAATATGCCTATATCTACCGTTTAAATACTAAAATACGTTCAAAAATGCTATGTTAAGTGGTTTTGAACTATATCCTCGTTGGGTGCCCCTGAATTAATGCCTTAAGAGGGAGTACTGCGGTTCCTCGAAGACTCCTCTCGATATATTTCAAAGTAAAGATAAGAGAATTCAAATCGAATAAATCAATATCAATTCAGTTTTAGGACACCATTTCAAGACTACATACCAAGAATTAGCCGAATCGAGGTACCGTGGTATAAGGGTAAAAGTCGAATCTAATTTTCAAACTTTGAGCCTGCCAGAGTTACAGAAAATCACTTCAAATTAGTATCTAAAAATTACCTTTAGTTTCACTTGCTCCTGTAGGCATCATCCTTATAGTTAAAATCAATGTAGCAACCATTGTCAAGAAGGATAAGGCCAGAACAGCTATCATAGCGGGTAAGACATGACGACTTATAGCAATATTTTTGGTAGGTTGTTGTCGTCTTCTTTCATCTTTTTCATGGTAAATTTGGTTTCCTGCTGGGTCTTCGGACGGTGAAGACTGGATAGTGGATAACTGTAGGTCATCATAAGGATGTCCATTGTTGGGTTCAGCTCCGGAAGCCTGCATCTTTTTGGTTGTGACGAAAACTCTGAGTAAGACTTCTTCAAGGTCACAGTTTGTAGTGAATGACACTTGTAATAACTTAGTGCCTAACTATATCATTAATATGATGTCACGGGAAAATAAATTTTTCGGTTTTCTTCAGTGGTTTCTTTTGGCCTTGAAAAAAGGACATCCGGTTTTTGGCTCATGGATGACGTAATCATGCCATGGGCTTTTGGAGGCACTCGAATGGCACTCGATCACTCACTCACTCACTCACTCAACTCAGCTCATAGAATCAGTATGACTAAACTGCGATTGGGAGTTCATACTTCTGAAAATGATGCAACCTTCATCAATTTAACAGATCATGATAGAACGTTATAATATTTGCTCAGATTAGACGATGACAATACTTCAAAACTATAACCAAATATGCCCATCTAATGCTTAAAAAACGAAAGCAGTTCCTGAGTCAAAATCCGATTATAGGATGACAGGCTTAGGCCGGTTCAGGAATTTGGGTCCCCGCTGCTCAGGTAAAAAGTTTTTACCTAAATCACAGTAGGAGCTGAAAGAGGAACCACACTAAAAAGAAGACAAACCTTACGAAAGCGTTGTAAGCCGGATTAATCGTGACACGTTTTAGCGGCAAATTTTCCTCATTAAGGTATACGATTTTTCTTGAACGCCTGATATGTAATACAATAAAACAATGGGACAGGGCTACTCTTTATTTGCTGTTATATTTTTCGTGGCTTGCGGTTTCGTGTCGGCTTGGTTAAAAAATATACATCACCGGAATTTTCAGTTTTAAGACGCCTTTATCTTAGTTGCCATTGTCTTGGTAAAGGATTACATAAACATATTTGTTACAGAGGAGTAAATACTTCAAACGTTTATTCGTTAGACAGAGGAAAATAAATGCGCCAGTGTATTTGTCAGACACAGGCAAATTAATGTCCCAGTGTATTTGTTAAGCACAGGCAAATAAATGCCCCAGTGTATTTTGTGAGACACAGGCAATTTAATGCCCCAGTGTATTTGTTAAACACAGGCAAATTAATGCCCCAGTGCATTTTTTTAAACACAGGCAAATTAATGCCCCAGTGTATTTTGTTAGACACAGGCAAATTAATGCCCCAGCGTATTTATTAGACACGGGCAAATTAATACCCTAGTGTATCTGTAAGACACAGGCAAATTAATGCCCCAGTGTATTTGTTAAAGATAGGCAAATTACGGTATTTGTTAGACACAGGCAAATTAACACCCCAGCGTATTTTGCTGTATTTGTTAAACACAGGTAAATTAATGCCCTAGTGTATTTGCTAGACCCAGGTAAATAAGGACCAGTTCTTTGCTTGAAATATTACTCAGCATGCCTATATATTTAATGCTCAAGTTTACAGATACTTCCCGATGAAAAATCCAGATTTTTTGTCGGCTGGCTTATATTTACATGTATCGGGTTTATAACACTGACAAAGCGTAACATTTCTACGAGTGAGTGATTGTCCTGTTCGAAGCCTCTTAGCTTTATTGATAGTGACGACCATGCTGTGAGCGCCTTGTGATTTCCCGCGATTTTCCGCGAAGCTCCCTTTACTCGCTCTTTACATCCACAAAACCGCGACACAGTACTACAGTACTACAGGATATAAAGTACTAAAGTATTCGTCCCGGATTCATATGGTCTACCTGGCCGCAAAACAACAGAACAAACTTTTACAATTTCGGGTTTGTGCTAATATTGGTGTGCTTTTCACCTTAGATATTCTGTCACAGGCTTGCGAGAAGCACATCCAAACTCGATTTTCTCTTTAGCAATTTCGGTTTTGGAGTATTACGTAGCCAATGTTTCAGTGCTTAGCGATGCTTTCTGCCTAAGACACAGAGCTAGGGATCCGATTTCAGTAGCCTTTTGCTTTGATCGAGTCACTTTATGAACTCGCGATACCGGTTACCATTTTCAATTCATTTCCGCAGTTCATATATGATTTATTTCATATATCGTCAACACTCATTTCTTTCACGGAAACATATGAACCCACAATTGGCCTGCTCCCGACGTCAGTGGCTTCATAGCTCAGTTGGTAGAGCATCGCACCGGTATCGCGATGTCACGGGTTCAAACCCCGTTGAAGTCCTGAATTTTTTTCAGGCTTCTCACCGCAATTGCATAAATTGCGTTCACTTCGACGATCATTTCTTCATTTTCATTTCATTTCCGTAGTTCATATATGATTTAATTAATATACCGTATCATTAACACTACATTATAAAACTTATTCATTTAGTTGGTATGTCATTTACTTTCCAACTGATTTTCCAGAAACTTTTTGTACATGGTGAAAAAACTTTATTTCTGAGGAATTTCAAAAAGAAATTTGAAGTTAATGGTGAATTATATGTAATACTTAATCCAATATTAGAAATTAAAGGGTTAAGAACATAGGATGGGCAACAAAGTAATGTTTTTGGACTGGATTTTGCCAACATAACAAAGTCCAAAAATTCGCACCTTAGCCTCATTCAATGATTTTCATATGCTGGTGTCATCTATACTGACGCTATCCGTTTGGCAAATTAAAGAAAACCTGGGGCCCGTTTGTTGAAAGTCCCGGTAACTTTTCGGGCCCGAAATCAAATATTCAAATCGAAATATAAAGAATAAGGGCGCGGGTCCTGGCTAGCAAACAACTCCATTTTGTTTCACTAATTGATAGTGAAATTAATTGTTATCATGTTAGATGCAAAACTATTGAAACCTTTATCTTGCATGTAAACAACAACAGCTTTACCGGCCCGCTTAACATATCGGGGCTTTTGACAAACGGACCCCTGGGCCGATAAGTGATCATAACTTTACAAAGCCTTGAGAAGGGAACATAAGGACAAACAAGTCGAGGACAAAGTTGGAAGTTGGTTGGAAGTTGCAAGTTGCAAGTCGGAAGTCGGTAGTTGAAAGCCCCTCCTCTGCTTTCAAGGGTATTAAATTAATTCCCATGCGCTGTTTGATTGATTAATATCCCGCTTCATTTTGCCTACACCAGCGTCAACATTCAGCCCGCCGATAATGTGGCTTGGACATTTAACAAAATTAATATTTTACCAATGGTCTCCTTCCATCACTTACCTCACTAGCTTCTCTTATGTTTCCTTTTTTTTTCCCTTTTTTTTGTTTTGACCTTTCGAAATTATTTTAGGTTAAAAGCCCCTGTTTTAACAAAACATCCTCTTTCACAAAAACAAACCTAAAAAAATAGATGACGTCATTAGCTACAATATACCGGTATTTAACAATTATTCCACGAGCCCGAATGGGCTCTGAGTCAATAGCCTATGAGGCCGACAGGCCAAATGGGCTATTGCCTCAGATGCCATGAGGGCGAGAGGAATAACTGTTTTAGTTAAAACCAAACGGTTGGTCAAAAATATCGAGACAAAACATCTTTAGCTAGTTAAATTTAGACTTAACCCCTTTTTGTTTCCTAAGAGCCGGCGCTTTTCGCTACTACTGAGTGGGCTATAACATATAGCCTAGTAGAAGCTTAACCAATCAGAACGCAGCATTGATAATAGACCACAAGTTGGATTTTACTAAAAGTGGTTCGGGGATCGAGCGGACGTTCAGGACCTTCCTTAGGCGCGACTCCAAACTTTTTTTTAAATTTTATTACAATAAAAATAAATAAATAAACGTTGCCAACTTTCCTCACTTGCAGTCAATGGCTGCCGTTGCGGAGGAAACAGAGAGGTGAGATCGGACGTCAGCATTTTAAAGGCGCACTCTTACAGCCACTTCAGTCCATGTTTTGATGACACCTCGCCCATCCAGACCGATGACGGCACAGGTCAGATAGACCATGACATCAGGGCCTACGTCCCCTTCTCTTTTCAAACAATTTCATGGATTCTTTTACGTCCCCTGAATCTAAACCTATTCTTTTTTTGCTGTTTGCCGTAGCCGTTGCAAAAAATCCCTATTGTTGTCATCCAGAAATTTTGCTACCATGGTAACGTGACACTTCTCTCTATTGTAATGATGCTTCAAGGTACTTTTAATATAAGAACGTTGAAGCTTTAAGGAGCTTTTAAGATAAATTTGATACTTTAAGTCGAGATTAGGGTTATTCATTTAATGCCTATAGGTGCAAACGTCAACTCAAAGCGAAGTCAATATAAACATGAAACTATATTTTTCCCGCCTTCAATGCTTTTGTTGCTGGATTCCGTTCAGATAAAAACCCAACCAACACAGTAAAATCCAGGAGGAGCAGGGAAGTATTACTGAACAATTTGGGCGGGGACTGCTCTTTTTCTAACCAAAAATGTGATTTTTACTTTTAAAGAACAGTTGTACTATACGGAAATGATAAATTCCAGATGCTCAGGTCCCGCTTCCAAAAAGAACAACTGAAGAACTGACTGAAGATCCAAGTCCTTCAAATCTAGCCTTGATTTCAGACCAAGAGAGACCAAAACTGATCGCGCTTATATAGCTCATATCCTCCCCCGTGGCCCCCTTCCCCTCCAGAGTAAAAGACTACAGAACGGAATCTTATAGCCTCTCTTGTATGTTTATTTGCAGAACTCCAAAAGCACTCTAGGTAGCCAAAAACAGGTTTTTGAAAATTTCATTTATTATTCACCGAGGTTAAAACCAATTTTAAGGTGGTCCTATTCAGTTAAGCCTCATTTTCTTACTTGGGCTCCCTTGCCTCATCTTTTATTTTTAAATTTTATCTATATATTTAACTTGTATGGCAAAATGATAATAAAATAATAAAACAAAACAATATTTAGTCCAAGACCTCAAATCCAGAAGCAGAAGCAGAAGCGTTTAAAATTGAGGTTGCAGTGACAGCTCTTTGTAAATAGATTTAGCGACTACACTAGGTCTCTTTTTACGCCCTGTGATTGGCTAGAACCTATGTCCGTTCATTGTTCGAACCCAATCGTAATTCGCTTGTTAAGTTTGTGCTACATTATAAAGTAAAAATGAAAAAATTAAAGGGAAC